GTGTGGACGACGATGTTTTGCGCGGTGGTCACATCGTTTTGAAGCGGTTGAGATGCGGGGGCAGACGGGATGACAGTATTGCGTCTCGTGTGCGCAGACGTCGTGTCCACATTGCGACCGACACGGGGGCACGTGTCATGCAGCAGGACCCGGTTGTCGTGTCAGAGGACGACATGGGAGATCCTTCCAACGAGATGCGGCGTGACCCGGTTGACGTAGAGGCGCAAGCCTCGCCCGCGGCGGCGATGGTGACAGAGGAGGATACTGGAGTCAGGATCACTCATCCCCGATCGCCAGCGCCGGTTGTTGGCACTGAGGAGGAGACGGAGTTTGGAGGACCCGGTCCACTCCACCTGGCGCCCCAGTCCACTCCACAGGAGCGGGTTTGGAGGACGGCGAGGCACCACTTCAGCCGCCTCCTCCCACGAGTGATGGCGGTCTAGAGGATGGAGAGGTTGCACCTACTCCCACTTGTAGACACGACGGGGAGGATGAACGTCCTCCAACGGGCCACCATGTCGGCCTCGATTGCCCGCCCGGCAGTCTTCCGCGCACCGACGAGTTAATGACCATGGATTCCGCCTTGGCATTTCCGCCCGATGTATCGCTTTTGATATCTCCCACTTTGGCAGTTGTGGCACCACCAGAGCCTACTCGACGAGATGACGCGCGTCGTGACAGAGGGTTTGACGAGTTCGGCGGTGACACGATACTGCATCCTCCAGAGTCCGACACTCCCGCCATTTTTCATGTGGGTGCACCGTGGGCGGTGGAGCAGGGGTTGGCGTAGGAGGTGGCACGGAACCATCGTGGCGGACCGGTCGTCGCAGCGCAACGTAGCCTGGGAGGTTCACTAGAGGCAGTGTCTGCAGATTTTGTGGCGCACGGGGATCATGGTTCACAACAGTTATCAGACGGCGTGTCATCAGTCCATCCACCGGACGAGGGCCCGCAGCGAGAGCCACATCGAGGTCCGACGGAGACTTTAGCGGCGAGGCCTCTCGGAGTTATCCGCTCGGACGGAGGTGAGGGCGTGGGCCAAGATACGGCGCAGCCAGGGAGCGCAGATGCTGGACGGTCCTTCGGGGGGCCCATCGAGCGCAGAGGGTCATCGACCACACACCCCGACATCGTTAGGCCCAACGCACATGACGTTGGAGACGGGCACACAGATGAGCCTCTACCGCATCTGATGGGGATGCGTGACATCATGCGTCCACCACCCTCACGCCCCCTTGCCGCTGACCCCGTCGCCCACGGGCAGGCCACGCAGAGCGCATTGCCTACGAGGTCTTTCTACAACGGTGCGGGCATGGACCGGAGGGCGGGCGATATCGAACAGGCATCAGCATGCGGACCGACAGATGTGCCCGCGGGGGCGCGATCAATCGGCAACGTCGATGGCACTTGTCGCGATTCCATGAGAGCTTACGAGGAGCAGCATGGGAGGCCTATACGGGCCAAGACGATTGATGTCCACGACACCAGGACAGCAACTGCGAGGCTATCACGGGCGAAGAAGAAGGGAACAGGTGCGTCGATTCCGTATCACCGGCGCCGCCCGCAACCTTTTTTCCGCAACAGGGACGAGACTAGACAGATGCCAACTGTTGCAGATGGATAGGGGGTGGCGGACGGAGGTGACAGAGTGGACGAATCAAGGCGAGGTTAGAAGAGACGAGGCGGCACGATCATCATCCACGACGACAGCTGCACGACCGCTGAGGGCGGTGAGACCACAGGCGCCGACGATCCTGATGACTCCGATTACGTTCCAAGGTTCCGGACGACGGACGGAGATGACCAGGGAGGCCCTCACGTGAGGATGAGGACAGGACCTGGCCCACAAGGGAATTGCACGCCATCGGCACATTTGCCGCCTATTGATCGACAGGCGCAAGCTCGGTCTCTGTTGCGCAGACTGGGGGAACAAAGATTGGCGCGAGGGATATCACTGCCACATCAGCATCCGGGGGAGAATCCCGGAGACATGACGGAGAGAGAGAGAGAGAGAGAGAGAGAGAGAGAGAGAGAGAGAGAGA